AGTGGTTGTACTCATTTGCATTCCCACCAGCAGTCCTACCATAAATTTTATGGAACAAATGCCTGTGAGAATGCGATCCCAGTGATGGGCCTGATGTTAAGTTCTATCTCACACCCGGCCTGAGCACTAGCAAAGAGCTGTCAAGGGCATTTCTTACCTCAGGAATCAAGACTGTTATCACACTGGACTCAGCACCAGTTACATTACCCACACTAAGGGACGTGAATGTTAGACAAGAAGGGTGCAAGCTCTACCTCGCTGCAGGGGAGAACTGGAGAAACCTGGTGTGTCTCACTGGAATAAAGATGAAGTTCTTCTAACAACTTAGCTCCTTCTTTCAATTTCTCCAAAGCTGACTCTTCCCAAAGCCCAGTATGTGACCTGGTCTTTAGAAATATCTGTACAAAGTCCCTTCCTTCCTCCCTCGCTCCGTCAGGGAAAAAACTCAAGGTGTAACAGTGGAAATGATGCAAGCAGGGACCTCCCTGAGTTGAAAATACTTACCTAAAATCAGCAATCCGGAGCTTGTACTAGCTAGATCCCCCGCCCCCAGCAAATCTATTCAGGAGCCACTTGAACACCACTTTTCTCCATGACCCTCTATGCACAAGGAAAATGGGCACATGAGCAGTCAGAAGAAGGAACATGGCTACCGTAGACTGAAAGAGGAGGGCAGCCTGCACGTGCGTGTCTTACCTCATCATACATGAACTGAAGCGTCAGGGCCGACTTGCCAACCCCTCCACTGCCAACCATGATCACCTTGTGTAGGGCCAAGGAGCTCTGGCTCTTATTCTTGTTTGCAGCCATTCTGCTGGTTTCTGACGTTGCAACACGTGGAAGAAGACCCAGTCAAAGAGCTGCCAATGTAAAAGACAAAGACTTAGAGTGGGTTGGAGTCTACCCAACTGAAATCAGATGAAATCCACACACTCCAGAAAGCCTAACCCAGACAATCCAGCAGAGAAGTCATTCTTCTAAGCTCTGGTGGAGCTGTAACGCCAGCAATAATTGGGCACCACAGAGCCAAAGTGAAGATAAGGATGAGAGGGGAGAACGGGCGCACACACGCAACAACTATATCCCTGGGCAGGATGCCACTACTAAAACTCTGTCCTGCCTCAACTTCTCTGGGGTCCAAAGAACCAGTACTTGTGTCCTGCCCTTCCCCAGGTCACCTGATACCACAGAGAACAGCTCCTGGACCTCAATGTCTATCTTTTCATTCTCACGCCTCTCCTCACCCTCTACCCCCCAACACATACACACACTGACAAGGCCCTCCAGTGGCCTTGGGGGGGGGAGCTGTAAAGGGATAAGTATTCTGTATATTAAGGACCCTTTGATGACACCTGACAGAGTTTAAAAAAGGAAAACGAAGCTATTCACCATAGGTTTAGTGGTGAATTAACATGAGATAGACTTTTCTGGAATAACAATCTATTAATGAAAATCGATTTATCTTCACTAGAGAAGAGATGGAGTAAGCAGCCCTGGCATGGGGTGGGGTTTGGGAGGCTAAAGAATCTCACAGTAAATTTAACAAATATCTGGGACTTATCTAACCCAGGTGACAATATTTTACAATTCATATGGTAAATCTACATTTCACATATACCACAGAGTAAAGAAATGGGAAAGGGCTCAGGCCACTCATGGTCTCATGTCTGACTCTGCAATTTGTGGGGTGAGTGCCTAAAACTTGTTATTTAATTCCTCCAAGCCAGTTTTCTCATCTACACAAGCAAGTAAACCACCACCTACCTAGCAGAACTGTTGTGATGATTAAATGAGATACCGTAGATGAGAGACCAAAGCCCAGTATCTAGCACACAGCAGAAACTTAGTAAGAGCTGGTTTCCTTCCTCTTTAATTATAAGGACACTTTTTCCCCTAATGACAGTATATATTTTCATTTCTGCTGGCAGTTACTTGAAGACACTCCCACTAGAAAAATACACAACATACACACACATATACACACAGATTGGGTAAAACAAAACAACATTGTTTTAAATCAATGGTTCCCATCCTTAGCTGCACAATGGAATCACCTCGGGAGCTTTAAAAACATCCTGAAACCTGCATCCAAGGCCAGAGATTCTGATGGAGCTGGTCCAGGATGCAGCCAGGGTATGGAAAATTCTAATGACTTCCAAGGTAGTTCCAAAGGGCGTCAGAAGCTGAGAAATTTTCATGCACAGCTGAACTCAAAGAAAGTAATAAATCTCCATATTGGGGTCAAAAGCCAGAGCAACAAAAGTAAATCCTCCTGAAACCCAGTTAACTACTCGTCTTGGTGACTTAGGGCTTAACACACACACAAACACACACACACCCCTAGAACAGCAGTGCCCATGGTAACTTAGGGCTTAACACACACACACACACACGCACACACACACCTAGAACAGCAGTGCCCATGCCCATGGGAGTTAGAACTGAGGGTTCTTCACAGCAGAGCAGAAGCCAAGAACCTTAAAGCACCACACCTTCAGGTAAAGAAAAAGCTAGATAAATGTCTGCCCACCAACAGTGGGAGATGACAGGTTTACCTGAACCCTGGCTGTAGGAAAGTGTACCCCGGAAATCTGTAAACCACTGTACTCTACCACAGTTCCACGTGGCTCTCATGCTGAATAAGAGGCAGTTAAATACTACCTCACGGCCGCCGGGACCACATGCAGTGAAGACAAGGGGGCGGGGGTGTTCTCCTAGCCACAGCCCATAGCTGGAAGCCCCCAGGTCACCTACAAATCACCTAGGACAATCACCACATGTTCAAGTGAGCACCCCTAGCAAGCAGGAATTTCCAGGTAGCTGTAGCAACATTTGATAGTTTTTAACAAAATCAGAATGTGAGAAGAATGATTTTAAAAAATCAGGCATCGAACAAGAACCATGAATGTTTAAACTATTAAGTACTTATAGTGAAAACTAATTTAAAAAAACTGAACAGCAGGAATAACATTTGTTTTCCTCTACCCATCTTTAATTTGCTGGCTGTTCCATGACAAAGGAGCCTGACAAGAGAAAAAACAGTTCACTAATGTTTTCTGTTTGCATACTAGGGAGAACTCAGAGAGGAGTAAGAACCTGGGCTTATTCAGCATCTTAACAAAAGAATAATATTTCTGTAGAAAAGTGACAAGATAAAGGAAAGGAACTTTGCATTTGTAGGGAGGGCAATGTGTGGGAAAGTAAATAAGTGGAGGAACCTAATGGAAGACAGGACTCTTGAGCTAGGTTTGATATGCAGGTTGCTATGCAGGTTGCTCTGGTGCTCCTGCTAGGCTGACTGAGTTGTCTCAGGTTGAGTCTGAATGAATTTTCCCACTTGCTGATCAAGGGCAAGGCTGGTCTCTGTGTCCTTTTCAATTGCCATCAGCTCAAAACAATCCATGTCAAAGAGACATATACTGGGATGGTATTCTCTGAGTCCTTTCAATGCTCAGTAAAAAATGTACAGAATGCACAAAAGCTATCTTTAAAAAAGAGTAAAGCTCACCCATGACGCCATCACCTAGGGGTAGTCACTTTTAGCAGTGTGTTTCCTGCCAGTATTTTAATCTATGTATTTCTATATTTAAAACTATTTGAGATACTTATATAACTTTGCATGTTATTTTTCATGCATCGTATTCTAGCTTCTTAAGCAGAGAAGACTGAACATAATTAAACTTTTTCTTGATGACTGAAGGTTCGTCATCACCACAGAAATCATGATATGAACGGCCCTGTCTGTTCTGTTCTGAGTGGAATCACATCTCCTTGGCTTCCCTCCTCACCTCCCCCACACACCAGGCCATCATTTTACTTGCCTATACCAGGCCACCTCCCCACTCCCCCTTTTCTAATTATGTGCTGCTTAATAAGAGATCTAAGCAATTAACTAGATAATTAAGCACATTTGAACTGTGACTAAAATAGAATAAATGGGATAAGGGGCAGGCCTTCCCCAAAGGGCTCAGTTTAGGAAGGTGGAACTGCTTTTGGCCTAATTTCTGTTCCACAGCGTTTTCCCATAAAGTGAAGGTTGGTCATAAGATTGGAACCTCCAGACATCAACCTGACACAGAGATTCTCTGAAGCAACTTTGCTTCTATGAATTATAATTATATGAAAATGGAGAAATAATTTTCCAGGTTGGGAGGTGGGAAGAAGAGGGTACTTTCAAACACTGGCAGACATTTAATTCTAAGCTGTTCAAAAAAACATAATTTCTTTAGAATAAATCATAATAAATGAACTGAAGAATATTTAACTAACCCACAGATAATTGCCAAAATAGTTGTGCTCAAAGCTCAAAATGAAATAACCAGGGTGGATATTTCTAATCCACAGAACTGCCTCAGTCAACTTGATAGGGTGAGGGGAAAGTTAGTGCAGTGAAAATGAAAACACCTATAAACAGACTAATGTTTTCTGGGTTTTTTTTTTTTTTTCAGAACCACTTCATGGTGTTTTAAACAAACAAAAACCAGTCACAGCAGCCTGGGCTGCTGTGCTGTTTCCAGGAAAGCTCAGTGGCAGGCACTTCAGCTTTCTCCCTTGACAGATGATGCAGGGAAGGCATAACATTGAAGGTGTGGGGTGGAGAAGTGAAGGGGGGTTGAATCACAAAAGATAGAGATAAGCATCAACAATGGGCTTCACAGCTATCTTAAACTCACCCCTCTCCAACTTCAATCTCCTCCCCAGCTTCAATCTTGACAGTCATACTGGAAGGAACTAGAGATAGCAAATGAGAGTGCCAAGGTGCAGGCCACTTGGCTTGGTGGTAGGTGACACAATCTTTGGAAAATCATCCACAAGGAAATCCCAAACAAAACCATTTAAGAGGACGGCCATTGTTATGCTTTTATGATACTGCCCCCCCCCCCCAGCATCAACATACTTTCTGGTAATACCCAAGAAACATCCCAGATTTCTGAAGCAGATGCTGAAAGTCTTCTTGGGCATCTTAAGGACTGTTGGCAAGAAATGTGCTGCTGATCTGAGCCTAAAGAAGAGTTATAGTGTGGTGGTAGAATGAAGGGTCAGATGGAGGACAATCTATGTTATTCATCTCTATGTTTTGGGAGGTCAGCAGATGAACTGGCCTCTTGATTAAGCACATTTTAAGGATAGTTTTCTCTAGATAATGACTAAGTTTGAAAGTTCCAAATATACTGCTGAAAAATACAAATTATGGATTGAGGAAATGTTAAATACCCACACATAATGAAAAAGACTGCTGCATGGTGTACAGTCAAAAAATGGGTCTTCCACCCAACTCTGCATTGGTTCAATATGAATAAAGTCTCCAAGACAGAAAAAAAACATGCTCCAAAGTTAAGAAAACTTCTTTTGGATGACTTGGTAGAGAGGCAACGGGATTAAGAAACAGTCAAGCTAAAAATGGTCCTATGATAATTAATATTAGACAAGATTCTCCACAACATTATTCCCATATCAGAACACATTCACTAGAGAAGTAAAATTCTAAAAGTAAATCTGTTTCATTAGAAAAGCTTCTAAATCTACAGATTTACCAGTACTATGGTGGCTGAAGGGTATGGTAAATATCACCACAAGGATACACCATGTGTATACAAACCAGGCAAGTGTTTGAAAAGACAAGGTTCAGATTCTTAGTGCCACACACCAATGTCATTAGTCTTTTGTTTAACATAAGCTAAGAGGAAATAAGTTCATAGGTGGGGTCCAAATGTCACTTTGTCTGTATTATAGTGTTTAAACAAACTGGGGATTATTATAAAAATCAACAAGAATTTGAAAATTCTAGGAAAATGTATTTCCTCAGGTTCCCTCATAAAATTCAAATACTGGATAATATGATACACAGAAGAACATGGGA